TCAAATGGCAGTCGTTTTGTTGGTTATCATTAGCCCTTTAGTTGACTTCAGACTTCACAGAGGAGAAGGAACATCAAATTGAAAAAAAGTCGAGAGGGGGAAAGAGAAGAGTGTTTCAAAGATGTAAGAGACATACACAAAGGTAGAAAAAAGGTAAGAAGAGTACTGTGGAAACAGTCGAATATGGCATAGAGTGAGGTGGTGGTAGTTTGAAGTGAGAAGTCAATTGCCAGTTGATAGACATTTTTGCCGTATGAGTATACGTTGCCCAGGATGCACCACGTGGAGGTAAGTCTATCGCACACCCCTATTTGATATCAAAAGGTAAACGGAATGCTGTAAGGTGTGCATTGAATAAACGGACTGGGGGTAGTCAACTATTACCCCACAATTAAGAAATAACGTCAATTTAATTCGCCTCTTTAACAAAATACGCACTTTGCCCCCGTTTTAACATAATTACACTGTTACTTTAGCATTTTCTCAAATGTTTCCCTAGTATAAAAGTTAATTCTGTTTAACGTGTACAAATCGAGTGCAGTTTCCGTTTACTGACAAATAAATCTCCATTTTTACGAGCCAAAGTTTTCGCTACCCTTTTTTCCCTTAAAGATGCTTTGTTTAACGACATCAACAACGAATTGGCTTCGCTTTTGCACACCACGACTCTTAGAGACAGACGCACCGGCGACGATGAAGAATACAATGAAGGTACGTATCACTCGTAAATTGTTCGAATTCCTCTGTCTCACAGAGCGTTTGCCTATTCAAAATCATCATTCCAATACTCATGCTCCATTTCACGTGGTATGTAGAAAGTCTAAGGTCGGATAGAGGGGAATTTAAGATGCCCCTACAACGTGAAGTTCCACCGATTACTCCACCTTTGATGCCTTCTAGACTTTCCAATCCTCGAAGTGAGTGCTCGGGCTTTTTTATTCAAGAAGATAGAAATGCATATTGTCTATCTTCATTAAGTTCCTTTCCCTTTAGCGAGTCTTAAATCCCTTCGTTTTGGTACGCCAATTTCTTCAGAGAGGAAGATCGAGAAGGATGAAGAATATGTTGATGAAAATGAGAACGAACCGATTGGGGTCTTTCCCACCACTCCCCACTTGAAGTCTTTCTCAGAATTCTCACGTGACAGCGGTAAGCTCAAGCCTTAATCAAGTGTGTTCACTTTGTTAGTCCTCACAAGGAACCTTTATTAGCTGATATTGTAGGACTCCATGACTCTAAATTGATGGAAAATTTGTGTAGACTTTGCTCTTAAATAGTCCCTTTTTAGTCAGAGTAAGTGTAATACCACAAGGTCTCATGCGTCCTACTATTTATTTTTGTCCGCAGTCGATATGGCGACCTCGAGGCCGCTGCGGCGACCGTTCACTCTAGTCACTTCTAATTTCGAGAACGATTCGAGGCTAACCGCGCTTCCAACGTTCGCCGATCTGTGCCCAAAGTCGGTCAATAACTGCACCGCTTCAACTAATCTACTTGGTAGGAGCTATTAACGGACTTTTTTAGTCTGTTTTCTTTCGCGTTTTTTTTAATTTTTTTTTGCATCAGCGAGGAAAAGTCACACGCACCTTCCTTCATTTAGTCGGGGGGGGGGGGGGGGGGGGGGGGGGGGGGTGG